CTGAAAACTAATAGGCAAGTGCCTACGTTCGAAGCCAACTTGTCTCTGTGAGAAAGGTTAATAGATCATAGAATGTAATAGTGGTTATTTTAGCGATTAAAATATGGTAGAAAGCTTTCCATAGTTCTTTTATTTGTATTATAGAGCCTCTCGAATTTATTTTGCTTCCTTATAATAGCTGTATATTTGTTTTTCTAAATGTTTAATAAGTCTTTGGTTTTGTTTCTCAGGTCCATAAATGGCTTGGACTGTTCAACTTTAAATGGAAGCATGCTATGTAGCTTTGCTCATAAATTTTGCGATGGCAGTGTTTGTGCTGATGGTTTAACAAATCGTGCGAGGGATGCGATTGAAGCAGACATAACTCAAAATCGACGCGTCTGCCAAACATCTTTCAGTCTTCGTTCACGTCTACCAGGCACCGACTTCTCCCATGTCACTCCAGTGGCTGTTCACAATTCCCTTCTATTCACATGCGTCTTTGAAAATGGCTCTGTGACCACAATGCAATCCCACATGCTACTGATTGACTGTTTTATGGCTCGATCAAAGCTTGCGCTGGCCGTGTCTTCAAAACTCAGTAGCAGTGTCCGCAATCGCTATCTGCAGGATATACGAGGCGTAAGTTAGGGATTTTATTTCGAATCTATCTCTTAGGTTCAACTGGCTTGTACAACAGCGCCAGAGCTCCGTGGACCGCTGATCTTGGACTTATACTCATCAGCCGCTCTAGATGGTAGTACACTCAAACACCAGGAAGTTGGATGCAGTGCTCTCATGCAGTGAGTCTCACTTTCAACCGCGAGGTTTTGTTTATAGGCCTTCCGATTCGTTTGATGTGATCTGCACGACTTCAAAAACTATTAGCCAAGCCGATGGCCATGATGAAGCTGTATTATCAATGGCTTATCACCCAATGTTGCCACTTGTCCTTACTCTTTCTGCATCTGAATTCATTGTTTGGCGTTCCCCATTTTGTTCTCCTGGACCGCTCTCTGCACCGCTTTCTCCCCCCCTCCGACATTTCGGGAGGTATCGTCAAGACGGTACTTCACTGCGTTATGCTGCCTTTTTTCCGTGTTTTATTGCGCCCCTTCATGCGCCCAGTTCAGCTACAAACAATACACTACCTCTCAGTGTTATTGCTGTCGATTCCTCGACGGAAATCCAGCTATTTTCTGTGGATACAACCGGTACCGTTACTAAAATAGGAAATCTAACACCCACTATGGACGCTAGCCTTTCCTCATCTTCGTCAATGCTGTTAGTTATTTCTGCCCCATCATCGTCTTCCTCATTCCTTGTGATTAAAATTTTCTCAACTGTGGAACACAATACTGTAAGTTTTTATTATAAAAAGGTGCTAATTTAACGCACTTGTACGTAATTATCCCATTTCAGTCTTATATTGTCTTCATTTTCTTAAACATTTACACAGACCCGTTGGGATTCTGGATGATGTTTTATTTTTTGATTGATTTATTTCCTTCGTTTTCCTTTTTCTTTTGTAGGTTTTAAAAACGATGGTCCGGAATACTTTTTAAAATCACTTTATTTATTTTCATCCCACGATTTTAGTTTATAAAAGGAACTGTATATTTGTAGAATTTGGTTAATCAAAGGTAGCATTGATAGTTTAAACACGCATATCTACCCTTTTGTATTGCAATGTTTTGTGTCTCAGGGATCGTTGTGCCGAATCGAGACGTGGCGTGTTGACTTGGATTCTAAACAAGTCATCAATGGACATGCAACTACTACTGAGGCTTTACAGGCAAGGTATAGGTCCTCATCGCTGTCGCCCTCCAGCATCATTGCTGGCTCCTCAAAGGTGTGCACACCATCTGTGCATTTCATGAATAGAATGCTTTTGACTTCCTTCAAACTAGCCAAGTTTTTTGTTCAGGCCATCTATTCTCCTTGAGAAAGTTGAAAAATGCCTCAATTTTCCACGCTTATCGTTAATCTATTCTTTAGATAAGCGACCATGTGTTGCCGCTGGAACCAGGGGTTACTGTAACTTGCATCAAGCAAGGCCCATCTCCCATATCTTGGTGTAACGAAGTGCTTCGCCCTTCTTATCTCATAGCAACAACTTGTTCTGACGGCGGAATTCGTTTGTGGACTGCTGAAGCTATCAAAAGCAATTGCAAAAAGTCGCCCAGTAAATGGACAACTCTTCACATCAGTGTTTTGGTCTTAGGGACAATTGTTTTTTGTGTTTTGATTGTATTTCAGCCACAAATTTCCTAATCAAATGGGTGGAATGGCGACTTCCGTTTGCTGAGTTTAGTCACAGCAGGATTTTCATTCCTTCTGATCTTCTGGCCCAACGACGAAGCCTGGATGAACTGCATAAGAGCGCGAGAAATCGTGTTTGCCTTTCTTCACCGCGTCGGATTCCTATAGGTAGCCAACACAATGCACGCGCTTTTGTGGTAGCCTGTGCCACGAATTGGCGCATCGCGATTGGTTGTGCCATGGGTCAGACTGATCCCCTCATGATCGTCATCCTTGAATGCGAGTCCAGCGGTATGTTGCTGTATGGTCTGGATATGGCTACTAAGGTCTTTCGATATTGTGCTTAACTAGGCTGTGCTTAAGAAAACAAAGTAGCTTGCGCTAATAGGCAAATCTGATGTTAAGTTCCATTTAATGCATGCCTTGGGCAGCCATCCGCTGAAAGGGAGAACAAATGTCCAAATACTCCTTTTCTTATTGCAAAAGTGAACCTCTAAGGATTTCTATCCCACACAAGGCAACTTAGTTTTGGTAATGCAGTATTTTGCGATGGAAGTGCAGCGTATGACTGTTCCACTGAACTATCCACCGTTTTGCTCGACAACTTAGCACTCATTCAGTGAAATGTGGACATGAATCCAATTCCCGATTGCTATCAAGTGTAGAAATTTGTCTGATTGAGCCAGATTCGTTTTGCATTGCCGAAAGTTGGTGGGATATTTTAAAGTTACTTTAATAAATTTATGGGTCCACATTTTAGTCACGTATATGTAGCCGCCAGGTCTATCGAAAAATTCGTTTGCCTACTAGGAGGGGGGTGTTTTGATAGATTCTCGTAGTTTTATCCATTCGAAAATGCTAATGTTATAGCCGATTGTCCCTATTGTTAGGTGGGTTGGAATGGATGCTGGAAGACATTGTGATTCCTTCTGTGGAATTGTGCCCATGCCACATAACGTCATCTGAGGTAAGACTAGTTTTTGTTTATCCTTTGGTTATGGCCATACCTTATTCAAGAAAATTGGTGTTTCTTGCCAAGGCATTATTCGACCACCTCACTTACGCATAATGAGGCTTTTTGGAGGACTCGGTGATGCTACTTTTCTTTTCCCAACAACAGTTTGTTTTTTTAAAGCAGTGTGCTTTGCATTTGCTAGTCCCCTAAGTATCTATCGAAAGAATTTACCTTATCTTTCTTTTGCGTTCAATTCCTCCATTTTATAACCTTTTTAATCATATTTATGCCCCTTCGAACGGATTTTTTTCTAGATGCAGTCCATTCAGCTCGATTGGGTCAAAACTGAAGACGGGGGAAGCATGTTATTGTCATTCTTGTGTAATCAAACATTACTTATTTTCTCGGCGCAGTGCTTCGATGTTATTGCTGCTACTCGCGCTCCCCACCTTCACACCTCAAGTACTCTCCTTACTTCCCTCGGGGAGGTTTGTGTAATTTTCCTCTTAATGCGTTCATTCGAAATAAATTACAGGCGACATTTAGAACCCCGATTGCCTATGTAAGCGGTTGAATAGCTGCTGAAATCGTGTTTGCGACTGTGTGGTTAAAATTACTGTTTTTGCTGGTCATCTACTGGATTTGTGCCAACCACTCTGATTTTTGGGCTTAAATTGAGTTGACTGTTTCTTATTTGTATGTTGGGTTTAGCCCTATAGAATTACGCAAGTCATTATAATCTCACCTTCCTAATGATTTATATTCGTCCTTTTTAATTACCTCTAAAACTCTTTATGACCGCTTTTTTAGGTTGGGCTCCGATGGAACTGTCTTCGCCAAGTAGACCTCCTTGTCGACACTTCAAAATCCCCTATTTTTCCCCTTCTTTGGCTCCCAAATGGTCTTCTAATGTTTCATCACAGTTGCCATATCTACTTATTCAGCCAGTGGCCGTCTAACGATTCCGTAATTGAGGCAAATCAAATTCCCACCCAATCTCAACAAGTAAAAAATGGGAAATCCGTGGATCCTTCATTACTTAGTATAGCTCATTAATAATAATCCACATTTGCGTCGCTTTCGGTTTTCGTGGCCAGTCTCTTATTTTAGGTTCAAGCGATGCTGCCAAAATGGCTTTTGGAAGCATGAGTGCTACGCGTCTAAAGTCAGTTTACTCTAACCTTCACCTCACCACAATCCGTTCAAGGTCAGCTCTACAGTCTTTCCAAACTGGAAGGAAAAGCGAACATTTTAATCATACATTTTTCAACGGTCTTGGCCTTTTTGAAGCCGCCCAGGTAGATAAGTGGTTGATTTATTTCCTTTACTAGATCATTTATTCATAGCCCTCACTCCGGTTTAAGCCATCTATTAACTGGGCAAACAATTTTACGTGATTTTATCCACTGGCTTGAGATATGAATATGGTCTGACTTCTAAAACACTAACACAGACCTTTGCTACTCTTATTCATCCCATGTCTCCCGTAGCTCTCAAATCCAATTCTGCCACAATTCCACCCTCGACAGCTGCTAGAGTGGATGAACCTTGGACGATTTCGACTTGTCCAGGCTCTCTTGGTTCACCTCACCCGCTGTCTCTCCGCCGTCGATGTCGTCTGCGGGCTCGACGCCGCGCGTCCAAAGACCACTGTGAATAACTCTAGTCGACATCAGAGAACGCGGGTTAGGTTGTCTCGATAAAAATACCCAATTTGTCCTCCCACTGTATTCTGTACTTACACCGAACTTAATTTCTATTAACTGATCTGCAGTCAATTTCACTGGCTATCAGTGGTGGCATCATTGACGCCAGCCTGGAAACATCTTCGCTCACCACACCTTCCTCCTCTCCTGAATTGGAAATACCGCCTCTACCTCTCCACATTCTACTTGCTCTTGATTCACTCAGTTTTCAACACCTTGTGGCTAATTCCTCCAACACCACGTTCGGTCGGTTTACCTTGTCCCTGCAACGATGCCACCTTACTGACTTGCCTCTCCAAAAACCACCAATGTCTAGGTCATAACTTTGGTTTGTATTGATTTGTTCTTTTAGATAACTTTGCTCCACTGAGTGAAAATTCGGGTAGTCTCTTGAACGAAGATGTGAGTTTTCCCTGACCAATTTTATGTTGGTGTATTTAATATGGCAAACTCTTTGTTCTTTAGCTGGCAACGGAATTAAACGATGAAGAGACGAGTGTGCAAATTGATGGCGGTAGTGATACTGCCCAGAGAGGCAGTTGGCGTGTGTCTCTGGAGACACTGGGCTACCTCTCTAACGGTCTTCCATCCAACCCACTATGGGATCTAAACAATCACCAAACTCTGGCCTCTTTACTTAAATTTGACAATCAGGAAGCCCGAATTCTCTCAGATCTGTGAGCTGAAGATGCCTTTTCCAATAGCTATGGCCTCCTTTGCACATTTATTGGCAATCTGCTTCCTTTACAAAGGCTGTCGCGATATCGCCTACCTGGACTCTCTCGTTTGGATCAGATGTACCTTTTAGGAATTGCCGAGCTGATGGCGAATACGCGCACTGAAGTGACCGATCGTTTGTCGGGAATCGTAGCCACAGCTCCTCAAACACCACCAAATTTCAAAGAACACGATCAATCCAACTTTCCAGCGGCATCTGGTAAGCATCATTTCACCTTCGACTGTGTATGTGTTTGCGGGAAACATTGTTTCGCTTCTTTCACAGAACTCGAACTTGATGACTGTGGGCTGCGATTCGTTATGATTATGCAACTCTATTCCTACCTGTGTGGAACAATTCCTCTTGTGAAACGAAGTCAAATGATGGTGAGTTATGGTCTGTTTCTCCTCAAAACACTGTCATTCTTCGGGAATGTGGATTATATTGCCACACCAGCATATGTACACGTATGCATGTCAGACAAACCAGAAATTTGCACAAATCTTTCATTTTGCTACTTGTTAAAACAAGAACTAGAAATTTGTTTGGAACCGCTAGAGACATGGTGATGCCTATGCTAACTTTGGACGAGCTCAGCCGTCTTTTGATAGTACAAATCCCACTATCTGTAAAGCGACGCACATTGTTGCTTTACTTTGTACAGAAGTACCCTTCTCTGCGTAGTTCGAGGGAGTGTAATAATTGTTGTTCAGATAATTAGTTCTCGATAACGCAGGTAATCACAATTCGTTTTACGTCTAAATTTTTAAGGTTGTAGCGTTCAATGCATTACGTTTGTATTTCCTAATTCCCCAAAGAACATACCTATTCGTTCCTTTTAGCGTAAAACCAACACGCTTGTTTCAATAATTTCTTGTTTTATTTTTAGAAAGAGGGTTTGACCAGTCGTAGCTTTGTGTGGGCCTTTCATTCAGGGGCCGACGAAGTCCTCCTCAGTTTCCTCCCTTCCCAGAAGCAGCAGCACCATCAATCGGATCCGACGAGCAAAACTAGCGGTGGTCTAACTTGGGCCGAGTTCAGGCGTTATGGCTGTGGCTGGTGGATTCACAGTGACGTCATTTTAATGCAATGTGCTGAAAAGGTTTTTTAACTTTTCGCTTCCCTTATCTGTCTTTGAGCTCTTTTTTGGTTTGATTATTACGAAAAAACACTCCGGTGCAATTTTGCATTTTTTTTTGGTATCTATTAATTTCCTCTATTATCCCCTACTTGCTTTGTACTTATTTTACGTTACTCCTCCATGATGGAGAGCATGATCAGTCTTACAGTCTTTGTGATGTCTTTTCCCAGATGGCTCGCTCTGAGTTTCTGCGAACAAAGGATCCCATGGACTCGGCCATTTTCTATCTTGCAATGCACAAGCCCACAGTTATGGCTAGTCTCTTCAAGTACGCTTTTCCATTTTTCATAAATCAGTTCACGATTCCGAGTGCACAGCTTTCGGTTTTAGGCATTGCATTTTTTACCTAACTATTTCAAATTAAAATTAATTGTGGTGTTTCTGGGTTTTGCTACGGATTTTCAGGGAATGCCAAATAATTTTAAGACTCATTGTAACTTTTTATTTCCAATTTTATGTTCTGATTTTGGAAACAATTTTATGTAAGTGTGGGGAAGTTGAATTGGGATTTGATATTTGGAGGTCACTAGATGCCCAAATATTTCTAGGTCACTGGGAAATAGGCCGTTGGAGAATTTTTTTCGCTCAGACTTCACACTGGGCTCACCTGCTTGCAAACAGGCCAAACTGAACGCCTTCCGTCTCCTCAGTCAACATAAATATGTACAGGCAGCTGCTCTATTTTTAGTCGGTGGGTGGCTTGAAGACGCCATCAAAGTGTGTGTCGATTCTGTCAAAGATCTTCAGTTGGCCGTCGTTGTTTGCAGGTGAGGCTGATTTTCTGTGATATGAGGCAATTTGTTGGAAGTGTTAACGGCGATACAACCTCTAAAAAGATTGCATGCTGATTTTTAATTGATACTCATTTATTTCTTGTGCCTTTTGTTCACAGTGCTCAAAAGTCCATGGACAATCTCGACTTTTCAAACCATATTTGATTCCTGCCATGATTTTTATTTTCCCGGAATGGTATTTCGTCGCGGTAGTTCGGGGTTCTTTTGCTTGATTGTAATTATAAAGCCTCTAACAACCTCAGAGTCACTAGAAGCAAACATCTTTTTACCCTATTTTAAGTTCTGAGCGTCTACGTTGAACTCAAATCATGATTAAAATCTGCCAAATACTTAAGTCGTTTATATCTTGCCATTTTTAGCACCTTATTAGCTAAACTGTCTTCCCTATTTCATTCTGGTTTGCATGATGTTTGTAAACACAATAAACTAAATCGTTCGCCTACCCCAAAGCATTCATGTGCTGCACTTATTTTTGCCCATAGGTTGTATTCGCTGAGTCGCACTGAGTTCAATGAATCTAGCATTTCTCCTTATCATAAACTCCTTCGTACTCACGTCATCAGCCACGAGGATCCCTACCTTCGTAGCATCGCCTACTGGGTTCTGGTTAGCTTTGGTTCTTGAGCCATTTTCTGATCAATAGGAAACACTAACTTTGCAATTCCTGATGTTGATATTCATTCTAGATGGAACCGTTAAATGCCTTGACCACACTGCTTCAGAAGCCCTCTGCCCAGATTATGGATACCCCGTTGCCGTCTCAGTGCCCCACAATGTTTCCCAGTGGATTTGATTTCGAGGTGTGTCCCTCGGTTTTTAAGCTCTACACCTACATTCGCTCGCACCCATTAGTGGCTCGCCATCTACGACTGACAGACGAAGGCGATAGAATTCAGAGTCAGTTAAGGCTTTTGGATAGGCGCTTGTATTTTCGTACCGCCTATCACTATAACACCATCGGCTGCCCCACCCTCACACTGGAGGTTCTTAGTCGACTTCCTCATCTGTCCCCTTCTGATGCTGTTAGTAACAATTTGAGAAAATCTGATTTATCTGTTTCTGAGTGAGTAGCGAAATTTTACCCTCTAATAAAGCTTACCTCTTTTCTTCTCTCTATTCATTCGAGCTTGCCCACCTTCGTCTTTTAGGTCACAAAATTTGAATGAAGAGGTACAATTATCTTTTTTCAAACCGAACGAAGATGTCAGGGCCCTTGTTGGTGAAGGGGATTTCGAAGTAGTCTGGAGTGACGAAGAAGAAGAGGCGAAACGCAGTGATTTTACTGAGGTCACTGACTCACTATCCCAGCCATCTTCCGCCATCGAATCCAATATACTTCAGCACGGTGATACTTCCGGGAATTTAGGTACCTTTTGACACTTTTTTTCCGGCAGACCTCGTTGCATCCTAATTAATTATATGCTAACAGGGTCTTAGAACGGTTTTTCAAGGCTATTTGTTCAAATGGCGATTATTCCGGAATGTCGGTGGTGTTTAGTGACTGTTGAAATACCACGTACATTTATGTAATTGCTTGAAATGTTTTGGAATTTTCGTCGATGTGCAAGATTTTGAAAGGGATTATAATTACTTACTCACTAAAGTTACTCGTACAGCCTGTCCTGGAGGTTTCCATAAAACTGTGATCGCACTTTGTGAGTGGTGGTGGAAGAACCATTTTGCGCAAGCATGATCGCTCGATCTCCTGAGTTTTTTTTGTCGATTGACACCTATGTCAAAGACTAACTGAGCAGTTTTTCTAAAATTCTAACAAATACGTAATCCTCTGCTTACCTTCTAGATAATGCCGCCTCCCATGAACCCTCGATTCATTTACAAATGGAATATTGGGCTTGCCTTAGAATATTTACTGAAGAACTTTGTGGAATGTTCTCGACTGCCTCGGTAAGTGAATAGCATTCGTAGTTTCTGTCTTTTAATGCTCTAATGTATCGGATTGTTAGGCTGAAGGTGGTCGTCTGAAGAAACATATTTTTACCTGGATCGAAAATGGGATTGCTATTCTACAGAAGATTAGTTTTCCTTATAAAGGTGTGTTGAAACTCCATTGTCACTCCAATTCTTCCATTTTCGTGGTTGTTTAATTTTTGTACACCTATTGCTACTTTAACAGCTATTTTAAATTATTGTTGTAATGTATTTTTAGAATCGTATCTCGATGGAGTTCAGTATTCCTTCCATGTTCCATTTGATCGTGATAATAAAGAACAATCGTTGTTCATTCCGATTGATTACCATGGGTCTAGACATTTGGATGGGTTTGTTTTATCCTCAATTATTGAAAAAGAGCAGTCGATGACGTCACATTTACCTGCTCAGACGGATCAACAGGAAATGTGCGATAATCGTTTTTACTTTTGTCTACTGGTAGGCGGTTCCTCTCTTTCTCAACCGTGACAACATTGTATGTGTCTAGTCATGCTTCTGACTCAATTAGTTCTTGTGTTAGTGGGCGAGTGGAAAAGTTCACCACTTAATGAATTTCACTAGTTATCTTTAATCCTTAAAATGATTAGTGTTAATGTAGCAGCTAGCTGTGTGCATATCTTTTTCGTTTTTGCAGTCAAATCTTGAATTTGTGCAAAGTCTCATTACCTTCTGCAGTCTTCATGGCGAGAGTGGAGTCGACCTACGGGTCGTTCGCATGGAGTTGACTTATTTACTGATGGACGTCTTTAGCAGCGTTTTCGAGCGCTCCGATTTTTCATCGCAAAGTCGTTTCCTCAGATCGCTTCCTCTTCTGAAATGTGTTCGCCCAACAGCTTTCCCCGGTTTCATGAGTCTTATATCCCGACCTCTAGATCTCATCAAGGTACATACTGCATCGATCCCGAGCGTCCATAGTTGGGAATACATAACTGCAGTCTTATCAGGGAAGCATTGGTTTCTTTGTTCATTGTCCACTATACAGGAGATAATTAGGAGAAACTTTGTTCGAGTCTATACACTTTTGTCCTGTTTTTGGACTGTAACACTTTTTGCCATCTAATTTTGGCGTTTGTTTTTAAGACGTTGATCAATGATATAAATGCAAGTCTGGTCCATTTGGCACCACCGTACTTACGATTCATCCGCACCCTCCCATCCTGCAGTACAAAGGAGCTACACAGTGTCGTCATGGCGGATGGTAGTAGCGTGGTTCGTCGTGTGGGCTTGCTAAGGAATCTATGCATGACTCTCTCTGCCTACGTTTTTCAGTGTCTTTCCACTGGAACCTGGCGGGCGTCCCATCAGGGAAACGCAGGACTCGCCATTGCTGTCACTCAGTCGGCTTTTAAATCTTGTATTACTATCTTGTCTCCAGATTCTGCTATCATTCGTATTTTTCGTTTACATTACATTCAAAAGGTCCATATTACAAAGAGGAAATCGGTGTATATCTTATTTAAATTTGCAGCTCATGTTTGGCGTAAAAAATTAGTAAATTTCGACTTTAGGAAAACCGTGCTGCCATCTGTTAAAGTAATCCATGTTTTTTCCCTTTTTAAGCTGGGCGATTCTCTGAATGTCAGAAACCACTGTTTCCGAACTCGGAACCATCCGATTGGCCAGGTGAATCACAATTTCATTTGTTTTTAGGGTTCGGTCTCAATACATTTACCACTTGATTTCGCCAACATTTTTTACCGATTTCATTGTGCATTTATCAGATTACTGAGTGAAGCTTTCTGATGTTCGGAATTGGGGCTACTTTTAAATGCTTCCCAGACCACAAATTACTCCTTTCTGATCTCTGATTCACTTGCCTGCTTTCTTTTCTCAGGCCTTCCAGGTCTCTTTGTGTCAGCTGGGTGCGCCCAACCCACAAGTTCACAACACTCCCTGTTGGGTGTTTTGGCAGAGGCCATGGTCGCTGTTTACATGGGACTCTGTGTCTGCGCTCTCTATGCCCGTGACAGCTGCGCTCTCTACCGTCTGGCCTGGAACGCACGCCTCGCCGAATCACTTACTTGGTCGCGCGTGTTCGGTGGTGTCTGTCGCCTCAAACCCCTCCGTCCACCGGCACCGCCCACCCGACCCTCGAGTACTTTCTCGTCGCCTGCGCCTCAACCTAAGAAGAGGGGGTATGTTGCCCTTACCAAATATGAGTCTGACATCCCGTCTCCTTCGGAAGTGGAAAGCAAGCACAGCACTTAATCGTGTGTTGATTGTTCGGACACTCCAACACCTTGCCATTGCCTAACTTCGTAGTGTACATGTGTCAGCTATCCATGATGCTTTCTTCATGAAAACGGGTTGATTATTAATACATATACAGATTGAAGATCCTATGCGTTCATTCAGTTTCAGAAGAGGTCGACTGAGACAGTATTTACGAATTATAGTCCGGTAAGCCCATCCTTGCCTCTGACCCAACTTGAACATACCCGGGAATCTAACATGTGCTTGCTTCCCCTCTCCCTTACTATGTACTCTGGTTGGTTTTGAAAATTGCGAAAAAGGCTCACATGCACACGGTTATCTCGTTAACTCATCCAAGTCTCACTTCCGCTGCCGCTAATGGCTCTCTTATAGGTCGTTTGCATCATCAATGCAATCTCCAAATTCAGCGACACAAATGGGTTCCTTCCATTTTCAAGTCGATCAGATTGCTCCAGTAGTGACAAAGATTTATCTAGCACAGCCTTGTAAGTCTTGCATTTTGCTTCCTCCTATGAGCGTTATTGGCAATTCTATCGTGCTCCTACTACTACTCATTCCTACAACTAGATTAATTATATTGTTTGAACAGCCTTGTCCCTGTTGTTGACATATTGGAAACCCTTTATTATTTATGAAAGTGGTAGGGGGCGATCCATCATGATTTTCGATTACCCCTTTTTCTTCAGCAACGCATGCAGATGAATGGTTTCTTCCGCCGCAATGCTCCATGATGACTTGCTTTCTCAATAAGGTACGTCTCTTTCCAACTATTCGAATTTTCGGAGAGTTAATCAACTGGTGATTTTTAGCGCATTTTGCTTATTGAATTGTAGATTCTTCTATGTATTATCATATCTTATTAAAATTTCTTAGTTTCAGTGGAATACTTCTACACCTCCATTGGGCTCTCACACTTATAATATATGTCGAAGGAAACGCTTAAAACTATGGACCGTGTTATTGGTCACCCCAATAACGATCCTGCACAAGTGGAAGGGACGTTGAAAAGAAAAACAAACCCTAAGGTGTAGGACCCGCGTTCATTTTTCTAAGTAGTTCCATGCTGCATTTGGGCGCATAGGGATGCTTTCTTCACTTAGTATGGTGTTTAGCCCTTCCGTTCTCGGCAGAAGTGGGAAGTTGTCATGGTACCGACCGTGCACTAGGTTTTGGAATTATGCAGTTTTATGGGTGGTTGTATTCATTATTCACACAAGGATCCATTTATTGTGAAATCTTACGACAAGTTGTATTTATACGTCTGTCAACTTTCGATGCGCCAACCAAATGTTTATGGGAATGTTTGTCGAGGTTACGGGCTGAAAACGAAACTACCACAGTTGGGACCGGTGCCAACAGGCGATTTTCGACACCCATCTTCAAAACGTCCATATCATCCAAATATTTTACCACTGAGCGGTTGAACGTACCATTACCGTACTATGCTTGGAACCTTCTTTAGGCATTTTCAGATTTTATCCCGTCGTGCCTAGGAACCCTCACTCCGACCCCACTGGTCCAGGCACTCAGCTTGATTAACGGCCTTTAAACTTCTCCATGACAGGTGTTCTAGTTATTGGTATTACGCCTTGTACTCTTTGTTCGTACGAAATCAGAACTCCCCACTTGACTTGAATGTCTCCGTTCTCATCCGTTTTTTGGTAACTAGGGCGATTTTGATATTCTTCGAAAGACAGCTACCATTGAATGACAGGAACTATTCGATCACAGGCTCTTTTGTTATTCCTAAAACTGGCACAATGTGATAATAATCTATGGTAGAAATGCGGTTTATGTGGTACCTATTCATTTTCATACTACCCAGTAATTACTTTCCTTTGTTTACTGCCTTTCTTTGGCAGCAATTCGGCTAGGAATCACTTTACTCCTTTACTTATTCATTTCTTTTTCCCTCTACATGATAGCCCCGGCTCTCAGAAAAGACGTTCTCAGAGGCTACCTTCGTGTACGATAGCGAAGACTCATCACCGCCCTCCGACTACGACGACTATGAGACCGCGACAAAGTATTTTCGAAATAAGCAACGTTGGACTCGTCTGCGTACTTCAGGCGATAGCGCTGTTCCGCTTTCATCCGATTCTTCCACCGATAGTGAATCAACTGACATCTCTGAGGTTTGATCTGCTACCCGATTGGCATTGGTCTTTGAAAATGACTTTAATTTCATTCTAATACAACTTCACTGTGTGTCTAGGATCCTGGGCATGTAATTCTACTTCCTGGTTGTGATCTCAAGGTTGTCCACTTAAATCCGGATTTCGGTATTGCCGGTTTCGGCAACATTCCTGACGCCTTCTCGCTTACAGCAATTGGAAGCCACAAGGACAATTCTGATGTTTCTAGTGAAGTCGATGATTTCGAACGCATTGCACCGGTAGATAAACAGTGGTCCGATGGCTACAGTTACGCTTGGCGTTTGATGCGACTGGCTTTCGTTCAGCTTATGACACAGCAGCTGACCGGGTTGATCAAGCTTCTCAATCTTGACAATGACTGTAAGTGTTTCGTCTTATTATCCTTTCCTTTGAGCAGCAAACTTTAGTAATTAACCACGTAAATTACCTGCATACTTTTTACAGTTTTGACTACTTATGCACCGTCATTGCTCCAATCAAAGGGTCTGTTAGACAGGTGGATTATCGGCTACACCGAAGATCTGACATTTGACTGTGATAAGGATAATGAGTTGGACCTTGGAATACCGATCAATCACCCTCCAGAGAAGGGGGTCTACAATGGTGATTTTGGCGCTCCACCGGGCGCTACGCTGGATGACTCTTCTGAGTCTGCACTTCCACCTTCCACACGGAGAGCAATGGCCGAAATGGCGCATCTTTTGAATCCTTCTATTTCACCATTTCAGTAATTTATTTGTTTTCCATTGTTTGAATTGCTCCTACAAAATTTTTCCTGCTTCTATTGTTCTGTTCATTTCATTTTGCAGAACTCGTAATCCTTTTTCGTTACCAGTGAAACGCCTCTGGTTCTGCCTTATGAGTAAACCCGGCTTAAGTGAAACATTCATGCGTTGGATTTACCACCCGCGGCACTCTGTTCGCCCTTCTGTCAAGCCTATAAAACTGCAAGTTTCCCGCAGGTCTTCTTCCAATGCAAATGTCCCCGCACCTCTTTCACCTTCTGCCAGGAAAAGTGATCCTGCTTCAAAGTTGTCTACGAATTCCAAGGTCAGTGCCTTAGCTCAATGCTATCCCCAAATTTGATTTTGTCTCCGGACGGGATGATATCCTTTCTTTTATCAGATTCCGTCAACCCCATTTGCAAGGTATGTCAGCTTCTTTGCTGCTACAAATGTATTTCGTAGACTGGCCACTAATTTTCCTTCATAGCTTATTTAAAGTAAGTAATAAAAAAAGTTGAATCATTTTGATATTTTACCGGCTTCCAGTTATTCCCATTAATGGTTCTTGAATGGTTTCAAATTGTGCGCAATCTGCTCTTTCGACAGTGCGGTCTCCTGTCCATTACCACCACATATGTACCTTGAGCTTTTTCCTGCTGCCTTTACAATGCAGGTTCACAGAAAGCATCCAGTGTACGAGGAATCTCACACCTTTTATCGAACACTTTCATCATTTTATCATTGTGCTGAAATTCATAAGGCTCTTTTTACTGTAGGAGACAGAGCCACATATTGGAGAAGCAGGTGGCATAGAGAGATCGACTTCAACACCAGCACAACACGAATTTTCTATAAACCTGATCCATCGTGAAATGGAGCCTCTCTTGTGCATGTGCGTGGACAGAGTAAGTTCTCCATTTTCTCCTGGTTAACTATGGTAGGCACTTCGACTATAACGCAATCCATAAGATCTGATGGTTTTGGTTTATTTAATTTTCCCTTCACTATTTGGTTGCCACTCTAAGGTTGGCTATCAGTACGTGGCTCTGGCAACTCCCAAACAGCTGATCGAAATATCAATATCAAACCTCCTTTCATCAGCTGATTGGCTCTTTGATGATTTTGAGTATGACCTTGAATCAATGCGAAAGTAAGTTTTCCATTTAAGCAAAAGTTTCATTGCGCTTTATTCTCATTGTGCAGCGCTGATGCGAATTGTCTTTTCAGTCCACATTTGAAATCCCACTGCCGGGCTTCTGCAAGTGACTTCATTATCTGCGAAAAAACACCGCTCGACCTAGCCGATCAGACTCACGAACCGTATGAGGCCGGATCTCAGGATCTTCGAGGTCTGAACTCACAGTTAGTAAGTCTACCTTTGCTCGCTCACCTTACAAACGCTCATCTCCATTTAAACTCCAATGTATCTGACAGTTTCGAGGTCTAATCAACACTCCGGCAGCTAACTTATCGGAGCACATTCTGGAATTCAGTCGAAGGGTAGCACCAACGGTATTTCCAAAATTAGTATCTCTATCTCTGTCGTGAATTGCACGAAACTTGGCGTCGTGATGACTGATCGAACTCAGCACCTGCTTGAAGAAGTTTTCTTTACTTCACAGGTACTCAGGCGTTCCGTTAGTGGAGTTCAGAAACTCTCCGCACATCCTTTGGTGCCCTTTTGTGAGTCGAGCGTGCCATTTGGAGCTTTTCACGTAAACCGAATTTGCTGAAATCTAGATTTTTTTCCACATGCAGACCTATGTGGGACTGCCTCGGGCTCTGTGCATGTTTTGCAGTGGAACTCGGAAGAACCCGTGGTCCCCATGCTGACAAACACGTTCGCATTCACACCTCAGGGTCTTAACATTCCTATCTCAACCGGAGTTAGAGGAAATCCTGTCTCCGTGCTGCACATAGATACGTCTGGCAAAAGGGTATCAATATATTCGGTATTTTCCTGGTTTATATCCCGCTGTTCTTAATCTCCAACCTATCCTACCATCAGTTTGGCTGTGGTGACACTACTGGAAACTTCGGTCTTTGGAATCTTGATTTCAACGGATCCAATAGTCATCCTTACTTTGTGAGTTTTTTGATCCTTTCCTGCATTTGTTTGAACCTTGTGGATGAGTAAAATTACCTATTATTCCCTCGTTAGAACTGTCGTTCCCACGGCAAGGGCGTACTTGATTTTGCCTTTCTCGAAGGTAGCTCCATGACATTTGCAACCGTCGGTGTCGGTGGTGCTCCTCCCTTCACTACAGGGAGTGCTACTGGTTCCGGACCCACGGTCACCTCGACAGCCACCCGGACGGGGCAGCGCATTTTGACGCAATCGGAACTAGAGGCGGCTAATTTGATTATTTGGGACGCACTTTTACCTTCCAGTCGTGCAGCCGTTATGGGTGAGATAGTTTTTGTTTGCCGCTGCCGGTATAGCCAATGACAGCGATCGTTGACTTGTTTCCTCTTCATCACAATTGGCTGTGCCACCATTGGTGAAATTTGACTCTTTGATGTCGTGGTCCATGGGCACAAGCGATTCATACTTGCGGTATGCTTGGTCAGCAAAAATGGGGGTTTTACTCGGGTTGTTGTAAATTTTAGCTTTTGCTGAATCGCCTTTGGATACAGCGTGCACCTGTGTGGCGGGTATTCCCTCGGGCTCGAATGAGCGTCAGTTAGCTGTCGGAACAAAGCGTGGCGAAGTCGCCATTTTGGATTTGCGACGTCGTCCTGCGGCGACCCTCTTCAATCCCTCAGCTCACGAGGGATCCGCCTTGCGCTCCATCTCCTGTGATAGCGCCACGAACACTCTCGTCACGGCTGGTGCCGATGGTCTTGTCAAAGTAGTATTGACTATCATTTGACACGCCTAATTTCATCTCACACACACTACGATGCGCCTTGATTCCTCTCAAGGTTTGGCGTCTCTCTGATCCACGGCGTCTGCTAGCTACATTCCGCTCCGATGGTTTTGGTAGCCACGGCAGCCGAGCGGCCGCCACAGCGTCAATAGCAGCAGCAGCCCTCTTTCGTGGTAATCAATCGGCCGCTGTTGCGGCCGCCAGTCGCCCGGGCATTTCGGAGGTGGTGTCGCTACCCTTAACCTCCATTGCCTCCGTTGCCAGTGAAACCGAAAGCCTCCAACTCCTTACTACCCGCTTCCTCGCCTGCGGTGTCGACGGTTGCCTGCAACTCTGCTCCGTGACTCCCCGACCCGAGCCTATTTGGCTAAGCAAATAATGCTCCCCGCGTCTTGTTTCACCTTGTCTCATCCCCTTCCTTCTGTGATACGAGAGTTGGAAGTATAGTTGTCTTTTACCTGTGGTGTTGTAACTGGTTATGTTGTAGTGAAATTAATTCATACATCCATGTTCCTTCACAACATTTATCGCAGATTCATAGAAGCATAGCCACGAAGAAATTCAACGAGTTTCTTTTGGCAACACCACCTTTATTAAAATAAAGCCCATAAAAAAGGATGTCGACGATTACTGTTCACGAGTAATCAGCATGAAGACCCCCAGCGATCCAATCACAGCGTACTAGGAGGAGTAAATGGGTAAAAGACACTACCTTCAGTTTTGGGTAGTCGTTCATTATTATTGTTACCATACCGATGTAGGGGAGAAATCTAGAAAAGGTGGGTGTTGTGAGTGTTAAACGAGGACGGCTCATTTAGGAAATAAGCAAGTCCTAAGGCAAGACGACGAGTTTATCTGTTGGTTTGATTGCTAGTATTATGCACAAGATTATTAGGAAAGGCCAAAAAGACTCGCTAAATGTGTTGTGGTTTCATCGTTGTATCGAGTACTAGTGTGTAGCTAACAATGAATAGTCGGATGTGCATCATTCAGAGTCATGCCAAAACCACGTAAAAAATTAGCCTACCCTTTTGCTTTGCCCATAACATGCTTCTCTTCAAGCCAGTCTTGGCCCTGAGGATACAAAGCTCGATCATCTACGGCATTATTGTCACCCTTAGTCAGAAACTTCACGGTCCCATTATTTCTAATGATGGAAATAAGAACGAGTAAAAGGCATTCAGACAAAACATACGACTGATGAATACGCAGGACCCGATGTACAATTGGAATTTCACGATCATCAATCTTGAAGACAGTAATGTCCCCAACGTTCAAAGGCTCTGACTTAAAATTTGTCAAAAAGAGAAGATCGCCTCGATAAAAAGCCGGTTCCATGCTTCCGCTGAAAAATAAAATGCCCAGTACAGGCCGCCTACCTCAGAACCACAACAATAGGGCTTGGGCTATTTGTAATAACGATAAGTGACTTCCATATCATTAGCGCAGAAGAAAGAACCATAGCGAATGTCAGTATTTGGTAAAATAGCTTAAAAAATATATGAAAAAAAAAGCGCTACTTGTCGACCATTCATTCTCTTCAGCTCCCCCACAACGTCGCAGCCGAAAACGGTAGACCCCATTCCAACAGCGCCGCAACCAGCTAGATCGGCGGCTTCAGACCTATAAATAAGTCAACTACCAATGGTGAGTTGGTACGTATTCTGGAAAACTGCCAAGTTCTAAAAAGGTGGTTCGCTTTTTCTATTTTAATAAAGACAAGGACAATCAAAGGGTCCCTTTCTATAATATTTACGATTAGTCAGGCAGCAAAAAAAAACCGTTTCTTTGGAACTGACTTGATTGAAATATTTTTCGTGCCCGAAAATTCATATTAAAAAAAATGTTATTTTCACCTCTGTAATACGACGGTTGTTCATTCTTTGGCATAGGTAAGAGCTGACTTTTGACTTGGCCTTTGTACGAAGGGGAATGGGCTGGCCTTCGGGCGGTGCCAGTAGCCCAAACACCTTCGCTGTGCCAAATACATATATTCTGCCCTAGTATCTTGTCTTCTTTCGTCTTCAGAGAAGTCTTGGGACGCTACATTGGTGATAGCGGGAAGCGAACCTGATCTCAAAAGTTATGTATCCTGTTTTTCACTTCTGCGTGATAAACCTCAGAGGAGCGGAAGAAGTACGTGCTACGGATGGGAGAATGGTGATGACCCCTCATAGAAGGACTTAAGTTGACGTATACTTTTGGCATCTATCCCAGTCCCGTGTCCTGCAGGAAAGCTATTATCAACTGAGGTGACACTAGCCGTGAACCGTCTGGAAGTTTCGTTACAGACTTCACCTACCCTCCAAAGTGAGAACAACGTGGCAAAGAAGAACAGACGCGAAAACCTTCTCCCCATGGATCTGCCAGTGTTCCTACATCTACCTATGGACAGGCATAATGGTCAGCACAGTCGCCTGTCGCCGAACCCATTTCCTAAACCGGACGAAACTCCAGTACCAGTTAAGCTACTAAGGGGGATCAGTGACGTTGAGGTCAAGTAGCTCCTCAGTTGGACGCTAAACTGGCGACTGGCACGGTCGGACCGCGGGTGTTTCTTTACAGCACCGACAACTTTGTAATGGCTGGTGCGGGAGGTTGACCTCCGGGAGTGCCGGGGACGACGCTCAGAAGAGGGGGGAAGCTATGTAATACGATGGTGGTTTATCCCCCAGTATTGGTGAGGCTCCACTTTTGTACTTTTGAATTCGGCCCCTTGTACCTCGCTGGGTGGACTGGCCCAGGCACCTTCTCTGTGTTGAATGTATATTCTGCCCGAGTATTGTGTCTTCTTCCGTCTTCAGGGAAGTCTCGGGGAGCTACATAAATC